GTGAGGGGACCGTCACAGCTGCAATTTGGAGAACAAGCAAGGACACCCCACGGAGCCAGCAAGGGAAGAACTGCAATCACCAGTAAGTTACATGAAAGACACTTTTATTAAAATAACTTAAAAATTACTTTGAGGTGGGAACCAGCCCTGCCCCTGGACATCTCATCGCTCGTGGCCGTGTCCTGGGGGCCATGCGACCATCCACCCACGGCCGGTCACTTTCACCCAGCCGGGCAGGGTCTCTGCTCCCACGGGTGCTGCCCCTCTCCAGGTGTCGATCTGCACCCATAGGGCTTTAGGCATCAATTCCCATCACGGGGGTCTCACCCACCTCCTGGGAATCTGCCCTGTCTTCAAAGACCCTCTGGAGAGCCACTTTGATGGATCCCCTGAACCTGGACTTCCCGTAACTCCCCACCAGGACGTAAATAACCGGATTGATGCTGCTGTTGAAAGAGGCCAGCAACAGGCAGATCTCAAAGACAAATCTCATGTAGACTTTTAAGTTGAGGAAGATCTGGATGCTGAACGGAATGCCAAAGAGGAGGAAGAAGAAAACGGTGAGGAAGATGATGGTGTAGAGCCTCGCCGGGTGCTGTTGCCAAGAGCTCTGCCGAAGCTTGATGAAGAGGATCACGTTGGAAAGAACCATAAAGGGAGTGAAAAAGCAGAAATTGAGAAAGCACAAGGTTCCGAGAACCATCCAGCAGTGTCCAGAGTGTCCCAGGTCACACACAAAGTACACCAGCCCGGAGAACACGCAGGCAAGGGCCCACAGCAGGCTGCATATGACGGCCGAGAGGAGCTTGGGGCGGTGGTATCGGCACCAGAAGGGCCAGAGGACACCCACGCACCGCTCCACGCTGATGGCCGTGAGGAGATAGAGGCTGGTGCTGTAGGTGAGCAGGACCATGGAGTGGAACAGCGGCAGCACCCGCAACAGCTCCGGCTGGAAGCAGCTGAGCATGGGCATGTGGTAGATGACCAGGAAAGCCGACGTGCAGAGGAGGAAGCAGGTGTCAGCCACGGCCAGGTTCAGGAGGTAGGCAGTGAAGGGGTTCCTGCGGATGCGGCAGCCCAGGAGCCAGAGGATGGCCCCGTTCCCCACCAGCCCACAGAGGCAGATGAGCAGCGTGATGCTGCCGGTGACGATTTCGGGGATGTGTTCTGCAAAGCACCGGGTCCCGTTGGGTCCGTCCCCATAGACCATGCTCTCCGTCAGCGCTAGGGACACTGTGTGCCTCTCACGGATCGTGATGTTGGGATATTGGTCCATCTTCCTCCTTTCTTTCTTGTGCTCACCTAGAGATGAAGGAAAAATCAGAGACTCTCAGGTCACTGGTACTGTGAATGTCCTCTGGTCATTTGGTCCTCTCCTCTCCTCCATGGGCTACAACATTTGCAACCCAGAGAGCATAAAAGCTGAGCAAGAAAAAATGAAAAAAATGGGAAGGGAAGGGAAGGGAAGGGAAGATCAAGAGAAAGAAGGACAGGAGGGAAAAACTTGAGCACAGGGTGTCAGGAGTCAGACAGAGCTGGCAGAGGAGTGGAGGGAGGAATAAAAGCCATGCAGAGCCACTTGCCCTTTAAAGACTGAAAAGGGCTGAGGAGGTGAAGGGGAAGAATGGAAAACCCAAAGAAGTGCAGAGCAGCATGCTGCAGCGACCGGAGCAGAGGCAGTCCCAGACCCCTCTCACCAGGCACTGGGGGGGTCCAGGGAGGGCAGAGTCTTTGCACAGCCTTGGAATCCCAGAGATACAAACTCCAGTCCTCTCAGCCAGGCTTGCACGTGGAATTCTACAAAGCCGCCACGCCAAAGCCCTCCTAGAGCAGATCTGGCTGCCAGGAACACAGTAACTCCATGATGAGGTTCCTCTGGTGGTTCAGGCTCTGGCACCTTGACTCTTCCCCAGCTCGAGCCCAAATGGGCACTGGGATTGCGGTCTCGGGTGTCTGCTCAGTGGCGGGCGGCTGTGGGCACGCGGACGTGCCAGGAATGGTCACCACGTCTGAGAGCAGCGGAAGCCCTGCCAAAGACTCACCCTCACTGGACGCCGTTGCAAACCCATCCACTGGTTGCTTCAAACGTTTCCTGTTTGCAAACTTGCTGTTGTGCTGAGCACGAAATTACCATCATCTTCCTCCTCCTTCACTTCCCTTCTGCGCCTGGCTGCAACGTCCCCGGGATGTGTCACAGTTCCCATCAGCGTGAGTGTCCCCTCTGCCCCCAGTGCCCCACCAATCCCAGAGGAATGATGCTTGTCACGGCACCTGTTGTCACCTCCTCGCTTGCAGGAGAGGAGCGGGACATCTCCATCACCCTGTGCCACGGGGAGGGGACACACCCACTGGCTGCATCCTGGGGACATCGCAGCCCACCGGACCTGCCCTGCCCTGACACAGGCGGGCTGGCGGCTGCTCCGTGCCCCGTCCTCACACCTCACCCCGCTGAGGTCGCAGGGACACGGCACAAGCCCTCAGAGGGGACATTGCTCACGAGAGGTCTCTGTGGGGTGGGAGCCTCCTTGTGCCAGTGGCCCCGTCCCTTTGCCTTGCTCTGAGGATCTTTTTCGGGGCTGGGGAGATCTGTCCTGTTTCCTTGTCTACTGTAACTAAACAAATAGCTCAGAATAAATAATTAAATTAAAAAATCATTT